GAAACGTTGGTTAACATCGACCAGACTACACAGCGCAACAACCCAGAAGACAGAAGTCTTCATACTCACCGCTGTGAAAACCTCAAGTCTTACATACTTCTGCGTAGTTACTCATACTGCTGCCAGATGGCAGCGCCAATTATTTTCAAAGTCCAACAACAGAAATTTTAATCATCGCCGGATCCAAAGAATCCATTTTCTGGATCTACCGTATCACTACCGGTTACATGTCACTTAGGTCGTACCTTAACTTTATGCAGGCAAGAGCAAAATTAAAGTCTTGCCACAAACCAAATTATCTATCCGCTAGCAACTAAAAACTTTGTATATTAAATTGCCATTACTTTTTCTCTCTGTTCCATTTCTTGGCGTTGACGATGTGATCGCCCGAATTATAAGAAAAAAGAACATTTTTGGGATTCGCCGCTGCCACACCCGTCTCAAAAATATGCATGGCCACTACGACAGATACATTTAAAACAAGAATATGGTTTAGCCTCCATACCTAATTTCATAATAATCCATCAGAGTGGTTCAGAGTAATTACGAGGGGACGGACGGTCTCTGTCTGTCACGCGGTCACAAACACACAAATTATTTTAAAAAGGAATACGGCAAAATGAGCGATTGCAATACAGAAACGTATAATTTTTCCCACATTATCTTATTCTATTCAAACGAAGCTTAGATTAGAATAAATGGGTGTGTTGGCCAAGATTAATGGATAGGTATACACATCTAAGGACGTTGCTGCAAGTATTTCGGTAATATTTCTAATGTATTGACTGACGTCACAAGACTTATTTGTAAGCAGTCTGCGTATAATAAATATTTCCTCAACACTCACGGGCATGAAATGCTAAACAGGACGCTTACCTTGAAGTGCGAGTTCATGATTTAATTATTCGTGTTTTTTTCCGTCTAATCACAATTGTATATAAATAAAATTATACATAAGATATTAAAATATCATTTACATATTTGGTACAACTTTTTACTACATGTTTCGGTTACATTGAACCATCTTCAGGTGGAAGTAAACATCATCAGAAGTTACACAACAACAGTAATTAAGTTTTAGTTTATAAGATTATAATTTTTAACTTTTAACTTTACACCTGAAGATGGTTCAATGTAACCGAAACATGTAGTAAAAAGTTGTACCAAATATGTAAATGATATTTTAATATCTTATGTATAATTTTATTTATATACAATTGTGATTAGACGGAAAAAACACGAATAATTAAATTTTAATTCACAATATGACGCAATTATATCAACTTATGAATAAGAGTTCATGATTGTACACAAGTTAATTAGACTCTAAAACTACTCTGTAACGATACTTGCCGTGGCTTGAAGTGAATACTACCGGGACTTCAGTTTGCCCACAGTGTGAGAAAATCAAGAACGAATTTCACATTATTGTGGTGTTTTTATCAGTCTCCCAATTTATGTATACCTTGTACTTGATGCAAAATGTGAGAACATGTAGGTTTAACCGCGGGAGGTTTGGACATGAAGGCAGTCTGCCCCTCCAAAATGTTGGTATCTAAACACAAGACGTTACAACCACGAAGACCAACATCGATTTCTTCACCGCTAAAGGAACCTCAAATTTCCCTCTAAAAACGAGTTCAGCGTAGGCTACAGAAGAAAAAGTCCATGTGAGGCAAAATGCGTTTTCCACGCCCGTATCTTTAATATGAAACAGTTTTCGATTTGAGGCCGCCTGCATCGCCTGTATCGTCTACATTCGGCCAGTTCGGTTTCGTGAAACACGTGAAGGTAAACCGGGACGTTTCTCACACATGCCGTCGTAGTGAATTTAACTGGGATGGTCATGGTTCTTTTTGTACTTCTTTTTAATGTTACGCAGATAAAGAATCGGCTCTAGGAAAGTCCCACTGCTACTTCATCAGTACTACTATTAATCTCGTCTTAAATTATATAAAGCCTTCAGTACGTCGTGCTCAAAATTAGCACCAAAGCCGCCTAAAAACATACGTAACTAGAAATTAATAAAATATTTTTAACGGCGAAAAACAGCTCTAAAACTGATTATTAAATACACCGACTGAAACAGACTCTGGTAAACACTGCACATTATGAGAGCTGAGAATATTAATGTTCCGTTCAGAGAAGTCGCAAACGGCAAAGCGGTAGCAAACTTTGGTATTTATTGAAGTATCACATCAACTAACACTACGGTGCACAATCAAGAGAAAAGTAGTACAGCTCTTAACAATAATAAAAAACTATTTCTGGGAGCTTACGTTTCTTCAAATGTCTTCGTCTTGGCCTGCAGAAATTCTTTTTTTAGCTTGCTCCAATTTAAATTAACTTTCTCAAACTACTAATTTTAGACCAGGTTATGGTAGGATTCCTTGGTTCAACCCAAATTTATTGTTATTAAACATTCAGCCCGCACAGATTTTTCAAATATAATCAGTGACGCAAACATAAATAAAAATAAGTTAGTCGACGAGGGACCAATAGCAGTGAATGCAGCTTAAGAGGAAGACGGCAACTGTTGTTTCATGACCACCTGAGCCATGACACAATTGTACTCCCACATCAAGGTTAAAAGGAGACTCGGCGACTGTAATGATACTCGGTGATGCTTGACTTGGAAGTAGGTTGCCTCCTTCGCTTTGTTCGGAGGCACACATCTTGGGATATCGGTCAAAAAGCTCAGTTGCCGGCCTCCTACCACGAGTGAAGGCTGCCTGTGTCATAGCGGACAAGTCTGGTTCTCCAACACGCAGCCTCATATTGCTGCTACAGCCTTGTAATAGGAATGACAACTGAAGAAGAGCAAAGCACGACCAGGTAAAAAAAAAGGTAAAGTTATGTATAGGAATTCACGAGAAGGAAGTCAGCACGGACTCTGAATCATCTCAGGGGGTTCAGGGAACTAAATTCACAAAGCAGGATGACCTGACAGATCTCTTTGTTGTTTCAAGTCGCCGATTTCAAGGTAAGTGCCCTAACTTCACAACTAGCGTTTAACCACTCGTACCTACTCAAAAGCAAAGAGTGAAAATGTACACATTTGGAAAACATAATGTGTAAATGTGTCCTTTGCGTGGCTCATTGGCCATAATATTCATTTGTTGTACATTACATACAAATCTGTCGTTCCAAACATAAAAAATACGAAAATGCAATGAGACATTATTTTCCATTTACTTCGATTAATGAGGTATATATTTTATACCATGTATTTACTGTCTGTACATGGGCCCTCTTTTAAAATATGGATTTTGGCCAGTTAATATTTTAACTTTATGTAGGAGACTCAGCAAAAATTAAATTTACTTGGCAACTTTTGGTGTAAAACTCCAGCATCTCTCACTGAAATATGTCCAATAGTTTATCAGTTGAAATATGTGGGCAAATAAGCGTGCTCTCCCCAATATGGATTTATTTTATGCATATCAAACAAAGACAGGGCAAACTTCAACCTTGCATTCAGCATTCACCTACATACGACTAGCAACAAATGAGTGTAAATATTGGTAAAAATAAATAACTGGTGTAAATCAGAATTCTGCAGGGACATGAAGAAATATGGAAAAATCACGTACAGAATGTTACATTTGATACGCAACCCTAACTGCTTCACATAAACTCCTTCAGACACAAAATGACGAAACCAGTGGAAGTACTGAATTTTTGGAGCGGTATCCCAGCAGCTGATGCGCTGCTTCAAATCGGTAAGACGCAGACAAACACTTCTTGTGTCCCGAAGTTTTGTTATCAGTTTGTTATCAGCATTGCTATCAGTATTATTTTGCTATCAGTCGATATTCCCTTGTCAGGAAATTGCAAAATTCTTCACAAACAGAAGCAAGGGATTTTGGTGCAAAGTAATGTTAGAGTATGAACACCATGTTCGTTCATGCACATATTTTGCGCAACTGGTGTGAGCAGCGGCCTAGCAACCAGGGCGACCTTATCTCATGAGGGAAGTTGGGAGAGTTCATTACATTGATGTGGACCTGCTTTTGGTTTCATGTTTGCGTCGTAGCACATGAATGATGTCGGCTTGCGCTTGCAAAGTCTTGTTGGTGCACGTGTTCCTCCAATTCGGGAGGACAGAAATTTAATCGGAGGTCAACTCGGCTAATTCAAATCCTTCACTGCTCCGTCCTAATTTGTTCAGAACTGGCTACAAAAGAGACGAACTGCAGACCCAGGCTGCTTTCAGTTAGCATGCAATGCGTAATATAATCGTCTAGAAGAACTGTAAGGAGTGTCAACTGCAAAATCATGTTCCGCCACTATAGATCTTAATCTCCACTCTGCTATTTCCTGGTCCATTTCAAGTTGCACTCATTCAGCTGCATAATTTACATCTTAACACACTACCCGAGTATGCAGAGCATGAGGCACGTTAAACTGGACAGAATAATGACACTGCACTCTACTCAACCATTTTATTTTCATAACAAATATTTCTTTGACAGCAACAGACTTAACGGTAAGATGAATTTATTATTTGGTAACGCTGTGCTTTGACACACTTTGCTGTTGCTGGGTCTTAGGATACTGTTTAAAATTCAGGAAGGCATACATCGTCAAATGAGATGGAAGTTGTTCATGGATTGTGAGAGAGTAAGGGTTTGTGAAAGGAGCATGGTTGTTGCTTATTTCAATATCAGATCCACAGCTCTTAGACCCGTGACATTAATTATAATGGTCGAACAACAACGAGATTTGGAAATTTAATGAGGAAGAAAACTGGGATATTTGGAAGTCACGACTGGATAAATTACGCACTGTTAGAATCTACGTAAGACAGAAGTAGAGGTAACCAAGCATTTTATTTCGACACTGATAATACGACTGTAAAAACTCCCAAACATAGCGTCTATTCATCCAATAATAATAACACTATCTCACACCGGATGTGCACTTTGTACTCTGGTCACATCCTTGAATATTATAGAAGGAGGAATGTAAGTGCAGCAGCAGGGAGGCCAATAGTTTGAAGTCAGCTCTTGTGTTTCAGATTATCTAAGACATGGTTCGAATTACCTTAATCCTACCTTTATGCAGACGAATGTTACATATACCGCACTTACACAGCACTGAACTAGATATTAATAAACAATTATCATATCGTTTATTCAAGTTTTATAACGAAAGGAAAAGTTCCTGTTTGTCGCGAATTGTCTGTCCACCAGAATTTACGTGCTTATCAGCGTTAAGACCAAGAAAGTGTTTTATTGCGTATTACGCAGAAAAGATTATTACGTTTGTCTGAAATCATGCTGGGGCTGTATTGTTCTAATGGCTGAAGTTGTTTTAAATTACTTTTAAATACAGCTCAGTCTGACGGTTTTGGTTCAGAAAGTCGAATCCCACAAACACCCACACATTTCACTTTATACACACACCAAGCCGGTTGGTGTAAAAATGTTAATGGAACAAAATATTTATTTTCGCAGGCCACTAGAAAATATTCCGATACTAAAAGATGAATCTACACCAGTAGATACTGTGGTGACCTCCAATGGACAGACCCTAAGTAATGGCGACACCAGGAATGAAGATGTCCAAACAGAGAATATTCACCCTTCTCCACGAGGAATAATCGCCCAAGTAAGTTCAACCATCTGTGCGAAAACACTTCTTTCATCACCATAATTTGCATAATCTCTCCATTACATAAAATACAGTTTATAAAATGACCCCTTATGTTGGTGGCATTCAATTCTAGAGAGTGGGTCATAGGAAATATGTTTTATAACCCCACTACTTTTTAATTTTCTTCTAGAATATTCTATCACAAATACCCAAGACAATCCTTACGTGACGGAAATGAAGGACCAGTACAAAGTGTATTTGTTTATAATGGTGATGTAAGAGTATTGTAAGTAACATAAAGAGTAAGGCATACGTTTACCTACAGGCCACTAAACAGAAAATTCTACAAGTAAATAAAAGCATAAGTAAAATTACGTACAGGAACATGACACAAAACCAGAATCAGCAACAACGAAGCTGTTTAAGAGTGGTTCACAATTTATTATAAGTGTACAGGAGCAACAACACCAAACGGAACTGAGATTCATAATGAAAATCACTGATTCGAACACCGAGCGGAAGATCAGCTATCCTGATTGATTTTTTCTTAGTTTTCCTCTGTCCCTTCAGAGAAATACTGAGAATATACCAGAACAGGGACCCCAGCGATTTATCGTGCACAGTAATCTCAGGAGTTGATAAAGTGCCATGAAGTGACCAAATTTCGTTCGCAAGGAGCGCGACTGTGTGAGCAGATAGTTCCATGGGAAAACTACGTTTGTCGGCCACCTTGCTATGAAAATGTTTAGAAGGTTACTTCAAATAAAAGGTTTGAATACCAAGTTCTAGGAAACAAACCAGAACTACTTTAAGCTATTTACAAACTTTCAGTGTGTTTTTCCATAACAGGTTTATCGATAGCTTTATGACATCAATAATTTCCACTTCTTCAGACTGATATTCAAATAAAACTGGTATTGGAATAAAATACTATGCGAACTTCAAGGACATATGAACAATTATATGCTTGTACGTAAGTCCCCTACTAAGTAGATCTGTTTTCTGTTATCCCGTCATTATAAGTACCTCAAGTGTATTATTTCTTATTAAAATTGAACTAATATCCAGGTTTTGAGGGTATGAACTGGACTCATCTGGCTCAGCAGCGGCCTCTTGAATCACGGTAATGAAATTTCAACTTCTGTAGGAAATAGGGATTTCACTCGACAAGTGACTATTAGCTTCTCAAGAAGAAATCTGCCACGTGCCTCTATATTTCATCTCGCTGACTACACTACAACTGAGCGGTTAGCGCAGTTGTTATGTAGCTATCATAGAGAGGTGCCCAGACGAGGAACGGCTACCCTGTTGCATCAATCACAATTACGACTCTACTTGGTCAGTCGATACAGATTAGTAAAACAGCGTGTGTTCCGTCAGTCTCTAGTGGCCGGCGCC